TCGGTCCCCTCAGTCAGATTTCCCAAAAGAAAAGCTTGAATGATAATCAAAGGTTGGCTTTATATATATATATAAAGGTCAGCTTTCTACTATACACTTTTAAAAATTATTTTCAGTTTCTTAAAAGTGGAAATGAGATAACTTTTATCTTTGGTGTTCAGAGCTTTTGAATTAGGAAGAGTATTTCTCAGAAAGCAGTGCCCATGACCATCCCTACAGAGCCACTGGCCAGTGGGACAGCTCCTAACTCGGGTAATTTCCGGTGGAAACTATAGTGACTGACTTCCGCAAAGGGAATCGTCTGTACTTATGTCCAAATTGTATTTAAAGCCTGACTTCCCAAAGCACACATTTATGGGTAGTGTGGGCATCTCTATCAGTTGGGATTATGTTCATCTCCCTTTGGCACTGGGACCGTGAGTGCTGAGCCTGAATTTACTTTTTAAAATTTGAAAAAACTGCGTAATTTAAAAGTCAATATATTTTCAATTGCCTTGAAAACCTTCAAAAACATTTGAAGAGGAACACATTGTCCTTCTTTAGCCCAAACTGAGATTGAATATAAAACAGCAAAATTCTTTGAATTGTAATAACAATGCTAGAGAGAAAAAAAAATTCTTCCTGTGTTTTTAATGGTTGTTCTTTTAGACTAAATGAGCCTGCTGCTCCAGACAGCTCTCTCACTTTTCTATCACCTGTAATGACAAAAAAATAAAAAATAAAAAATCAGAGTCTCGGTACTTGAAACTTTAACACCCTCGATTACCCATCGCTAACTCTAATTTGGGGGAGCGATGCTCTTCCTGTCTTATCTTTACATACGCTAGAAAAATGCTCCAGTATACTATTTGTGTGTTAAAAACAAAACACAAAAATACAGACCAAGAAAACACAACAATGTATACTATTGGGGAGACTGTCGGTGCAGATTGGTTGTTAATGGAAGTATAGCTGCCATATGTTTCAGGCGTACGACAGAGTGATTAGACAATTCTATACATTACAAAAGGCTCAGCACAGTTAAGGACAGTTGCCATCCGTCACCATATAAAGCTATTATTACTCTATTACTGACTGTAATTCCTACGCTGTCCTTTTCATCCCCATGACTTACTTAGACCTGGGAGTTCATACCTCCTCTCACCTACTTCAGCTTTCTCCGAACTTGTCCCTCTGGCAATCACAGTTTGTTTTCTGTATTTATGAGTCTATTTCTGTTTTTTTGTTTGTTTGTTTTGTTTTGTAGATTCCACATATAAATGAAATCATATGGCAGTACAGATTTTAATGTTGCCCCGGGACTATTTAAATGTATACACCACTAGGGACTAGCATAACAAATTGCTTTTCTCATATGCCTGACTCACTTGTGAGCCTCTAAGTAACTCCAGGGCAAGGACTATGCTTCATTATTCAGCAAGCATTTAGTAATGGTAGAGGTTCAAAAACATTGCTAGCTCTGGCTGACCCCAGCAGAGAACTATGGCTAGTGCCATACTCCTTCGCTGTTAACATCTGCTGCGAGTAGGTGTTAAAAATCACTTCCCAGCAATCCATATAATGTTTTCCTTTTGAGCACTGTTGTTTAAGCATTCCTTACATTCCTTAATGTAATTATGTGTGCTGTTATTGTTAAGCTAAATATGATAAACACTGACTTGAGCTCCTTGTCAGAAGGTCAGGGTCTAGTTCTGCCTTGGTCACGGACTAGTTACCTTGAATAAAATAACCACTCTGATGCTCAAATTCCTCATTGGTAAAACGAAGTTGGACTGAATACCCTTCAAAGGTTCTTTCTGATTCATTTTTTCAAAGACACCATGAACTTGACCTTCTATCAAATAAAATGAAATAGTGTGTTTATACAAATACTGCACATATATATTTGTATAATTTATATATATTTATATATTTTGTTCTATATATTCATATTTATATATATTTATGTATTTGTCTCTACTCACGGTGAATATTACCATTAAACAAGTTAAGGAACATGTTACAAATATGTGAAAGTTTTTTTCTTTTTAATAATTTATGCAACCAGAGAGAAGCAAACAGGACAAAAGGAGAAAACCGCCTCCCGAGCCCCACCGCTCACACACACCCTTACACGAACACATTTTATAACTCTGCATAACCTAAGCACCCAGCCAAAAATATCCCAACTTACCAATGAGATGCTTTTTCTAAATATATATTGTCCCTGCAGCTGTTAAATGAGACAGGTTCTCGTCTGCTGTTTAAGTCTTTTTAGACACACTCCAGGTGTCTCTACTTACATGATGTGCTACATAAGATAAGCAGAACACTCTGAGAATTCCAATTTAAAAGCTGTAAGAGATTTTAGAGATCACTATTTTAAAGATGAGGAAGGAAGTAATTTGCCTCATCTGCAGCTTTATTATAAACACTCACCTGGGAGGTTGTTGGTTTACCCAATTTGACTTAAAGAGAAAACAAAGAAGCAAGATGTTACAGGTGACCTTGCGTGTGTTCCTCCAGTGGAGAGAGCTGGGAAATATGTTTTCTGAGAAACAATATAGCTAGAAAGTAAATGAGTCTGAGTCTGAAAGTGAATACATCCTAGTTTACAAACCATTGTCCTTGTAGTCTGAAAGTGTGGCATCAATGTTCCCTAACAAATAATACACATAGTTGCCACTTAAACATTTCAGGACCTTTTAGTTGATTTTCCGTGCGATTTCTGAGCTTTTCTCCATGAAGGGAATTACCAACTGGAAGGATGCCCAGAGCCACAGGGTAAGGGGGTGTAGTGCTGACTGAATACAGTGACCTGGCTGGTGGCTGACTGGACTTTCTTCTCTCCTGGTTCTCGAGGTTTTCATTGCCCGGAATCCAGATGGGACATCCAAAGGTTGAAGCCCATTGAAGTTAGAAAGGTCTTAGAGGCACCAGGGAAAGCTTTGATCTACAACTCAGATCAGCCAAAGATACGAGTGATAAATCACTCAGAAAGCAACAATAACCTACATTTACATTGCACTTTCTATGTCAAGAACTATTCATTTAATCCACATGAACAACCTAGTGAGGTAAATACTATTACCTTCATTTTTAACTGATAGATCAGTTATCGTTTGCTGTATAACAAACCACCCCCAAACTTACTGACTTCAAACCACACGCATTTATTTCACTCCTAAATTCTGCAGATCAGTTGGGCATTTCTTCTGGCCGGGGCCAGACTGGCTGCTGTCTGCAGGTTCACCCCGTAGCTGCCAACAGCTGGTGCATGGGCTGACTGCTGTATCAAGACTGGCCTCCTCTGTCTGGCCGCAGGCATGCTCTCGGCTGGAGGACACAACAACTGAGCTGTGTTGTCATCACAAAAGGCTTGATGGCCCTGCCTTCTTCACGTGTCAATTAGGGTTAAAAAAGTAGCAAGAGAGCAAACCACACACACAGTGGGAACACTTTTGAAGTTTCTGTTGTGTTGTATTTGTTGTTGTTCTATCGGCGCAAACAAGTCGTGTGTGGCCACAGCCAGAGTCAAGGAGAGAGGGGATGGAAACCAAAGGACCCGGTTACAGGAAGGCATGAGCCAAATGGGAGTATTTTTGAACAAGCTACCAAAGATGAGGGAACTGAGACCAAAGAGAATGCCAGATAACAGGCTCTCAATACCTCAAGGAAATGAAACAGCTATCCGAATTAGGATGGATGAAGATGTAAAGACTGAAGTGGCTGATTGTTAGGAATAAAACCCATAATCCTCGGGGCGCCTGGGTGGCTCAGTCTGTTGAGCGTCTGACTCTTGAACTCGGCTCAGGTCTTGCTCTCAGAGTTGTGCTGAGTTCGAGTCCCATGTTGGGCTACTTAAAAAAAAAAACAAAAAACCATAATCCTCAAGAATGAGTGGGGATTTTACATGGGAAAACAGCCTTTGAGAAGCCATTAACCATGATAAGGGATATCCTATTGGGGTTTGGTCTGCAAAGAAATTGAGTAAAAATTTATCTGGGATTTGGGTATTTCTTAGCCAGGAAGGAGGGGGCTTCTAGGAGTGAAGATGAATAAATAGTGATTGTAAAGGAGAGAAGTGACAGTCGGTGGCAGGGATCCTGTTTATCAATAAACTCTAGTCTCAGGTTCCTGAAGGCGAAATGCCCTTAAATAGTCCCAGTCCATGTCTCTTTACCCATTCCCAATGGAAAATGCAGTGAGGAATATCTGGAAGAATTTTTTATGTGAAAAAAACAATTTACAAATTGTATTCTGTCATTCATTTTTATTTTTTTATTCAAGTTCTATAACCGGTTACTTTTACCTGGAGTCCCCCGTTTTCCTCTCTGGCTTGCTAGAAAAATCTTGCACAGACTCAGAATCCCAAGAGCCTATGATGAGCTGAAAGGTGCACTTGTTTTTCTTTGTCTAAAGTACTTTTACTTGCTCTTTAAATATAAATTTCCCTACAAATTGTGGGCTGATTTCTGTGGCTCTTGTAGACTACACATTCAGGCAGACATAATGTGGCATTTTGATTCATCTAACTCTTCTTTATGAAGTCTTCAATATCCTATCACAGGACAAATCTACAGACCATCTTAAGCCTTTCACAGAAAACCTATTGGCATGCTGATTGTCTGGGGACAGCACGGAAGATAGTGCAGCCCTCCAGGACTGCATTATATACACGCAATTATAGAAAGGAGGCCTGGAAGAATTTAATCTTATGTTGAGACTGCTTGAAAATTTATTGCCCGTTCATGTAGGATTGGCATGACAATATGAACAGTGAATGAGTCAAATTTATCTATTAGCAGGGACAAAAGACTTCCATTTCTTAGAAAATGGTTGCGGACAGGGGCGCCTGAGTGGTTCAGTCGGTTAAGCGTCTGCCTACAGCTCAGGTCAGGATCCCAGGGTCGTGGGATGGAGCCCCGCATCGGGCTCCCTGCTCAGTGGAGGGTCTGCTTCTCCCTCTCCCTCTGCCTGCCGCTCCCCCTGCTTGTGCTCTCTCTCTGACAAATAAAATCTTAAAAAAAAAGAAAATGCTTGTGGACAGAATACCTGCTCCTCCAAACTCCTTCAATTGCTGCCCAAGAATTTCTAACCAGCGTGTCCCATTAGTGTTTAGGAAGAAGGGATGCAGACAGTTTATTCCTAAACCTACAGAAACTCCTGAAGAAAGATCCCAAGCACAAAGGAAGAAGTACATACAATCCTTGGGCTTCAGAGAAATGAACAGGTGGGAGAATTGCCTCAAGTTGGATTATCCAAATTCCTCTTCCAAACTGGGCCAGTAGAAACAACTTTGTGCTCTTGGCATTTCCAAGTTCAGGTTCCAGCTTCAGTGAGGACAAAGAATTCCTTGTTTACACAAAGGGCCCACAAGGAACAAGATTTTGTGCCTTCTCTTTTCTACCACCCTTCCTTATTGTGGACATTCTTTCTTCTTTACAGAAGATAGCATAGAACTAGTCCAACAAGGTTGAATATGAAGACAATTTTCTGAGTCTCAATAATAAGGAGGTAAACATAGCTTACCAATGGAAACATTCTCAGAAATCCACTTAGCCCCATGTGTTAGCATCTCTTCTCACGACATCCTTACAGTGAGTTTTCCAAGGTAAAATCATACAACTGCTCAATAATATCTTTATAGAAAATAAAAATCTTGCCCACTTAGTCAAAGGCAAAGAGAAAGATCAGGCTGTCTCCGAGAGAAGATGGTCATGTGAACAATGGGTTTGCACCCAAAGGGCTTCTGATGTGGAGCAGGGAGATACTCTGTACTCTATAAACTTTGTCAGGGAATATATGGAGGGCCTTGACTTCCCAGACATATGAAGGAAGAATGATTGGAGGAGAAGAAATCGACTTGGAGAACCTTGTGAAAGAAAGTGGAAGTATCAAACTGTCTTCCAGAAGTGGCACAGAAAATGGCTCGTCACTCCTGGCCCAGGTTTTCAGGTATATTCTTGGTTCTGGTCACTATTTCAGGAAGGATTGGTGGGGCAAGAGTGGAGTCTTCTTCAGATCATCCATTCATGAAAGCACAGCTTCGTGGACAAGTGAAGAAAGGCTGGTACCTCCGGTTATATTGAAAAGACTGAGGCGAAGCAATCCAACTTAGAAATTCAAAAGCTTTATTCATCTTTGAAATACCTACTGAGCAAGGCACTGTGGAAAACAAGGACCAATCAGACATAAAATCTGTGCTTGTCACGATTATGGTGTAACAAAGTAAAAATAACTTGTTAGAAAGTTAACTCACGCCACAAGTGGAAGAAATAACATGAAACTAGAAAAGTGGTAAAATGTATTCCAGCTGGAAAATGTTCCTGAGCTGGCTTTTGTGGGACAGGTAGACCTGCAGAAACAGGGAAGCAAAACCCAGAGAACAAATATCACGGACAAAACTTCAGAAATGGAAAACCTTCAGGCACTTACTAAGAACAGCTGGTAGTATGATTTAGCAGACTGAGGGGAAAGTTAGATGTAATTCATGGGGACTTCTCCCCCGCAAAATGGGAGATAAAGTACATGTTTTCTCCAGCTTGTCTGATTAAAACGTTCCAAGCACGAGAAACTACTGATCACTAGAGTAGCCAAGAGCAAAAATCCTAAATTTGGAGAACTCCAAGATATCTGATTTGTATACTGAGTCCTCCCTACAAATTTCCCAAGAGGTTTAAGTGATTGTCTCCTACAAGACTTCTCACCCTCAGCACTACTGGCATTTTGGACAGGACAATTCTTTGTTGGGGAGCGCTCTCCTATCCTACACTGCAGGATGTTTACACAGCATCGCTGGCATCTATTTACTAACAGTCAGTAGCACCCCACACTCCAACACCAGGTATAACAGTAATATCTCCAGACATTACCACATGGCCCCTGGGGAAAAAAACAGTGGTCTACCCGGAGAACCACTACCCTTGCGAACCACTGGTCTACCCCGAGTCTGTATGTCAGATGATTGTTCTCCTTGCATAAATAGAACTAAGGTAGGAAGCTAAACAAGTCTAGTGTCTGTTTTCTTATAGAAGCATAAAGCAAATATCACTGTTACAAAATATAGGTAGGACATGTCCTATAACTCCATTCATTGCTATAAGGAAAAGTAAATAAAACATAGACTTCCATAAACTGTGATTTCTAACCACTCTTCCCGGTCCAGCTCATTTACTGGACAGACTTTCACAGGAATGCAGACAGCCATCCTCCAGACCATCCTGGTGTTGGCAAGAGATGGACTCTTGACCATCATGTATTTAACATCCATAATCATGTGTGGCCTAAATATTGTTATAGTTACAGAAACTCTTGTGCAAGTTTTAAAAATTGTGAAAGCCAATTTCTAGCTTTGATGGTACAAATTAAGAGAAAACATTGATATCTAAGAAAGTGGTGGTTCTCAGTGACAAGAAGATTTACGAAACAAAAATGACTAAAGTACTAAATTTTATGCATGTCTTTACTCAGGAATTCTGTCTCTCTTTGGTGAGATGTGGCAGCTTCTTTCTTTCACTTTTTTTTTTTCCTTTTAATTTTAAAGGGAATGAGGGTGGGAGGGGGGACCTATATGTACAATCCTATAGAAGTACCTATTACTTTATCTTCTTAAAAGGATTTAAAACTGATTCTTTCACTTAGTAGGTTCACTATCTTTCCTTAAAGATTTAGCTCTAAGGAACAAATGTCAAAGTGTCAAAAGTCCAATATCATCTGATAACCATGGTAGGTACTTGATGCTAGGAGAAATAAGATCATTATAGTGGTAGGTAAGTTTTTCTTCATGTACAATTTTAACAGTACATTTAAGAGTTGAAAGGAATTAAGCAATTCTGGTTATAATTTTACTGCCCGTTAACAATAGATTCCTTATCTATGAAAGTTGGCAGGCAGGCAGGGTCTTTTGAAGGAGTCATAGAAAAAAATTACCAAACCCACTGATAACAACTCGGTGGTAACTTTCTCTCTTTTTTACTTCAAAGGTGTCCTTGAATGGCCATTTTGGACAAAACTGGTTGTGGTGGCCATTGGCTTCACGGGAGGTCTTGTCTTCATGTACGTACAGTGTAAAGTCTACGTTCAGTTATGGCGCAGGCTGAAGGCCTACAACCGTGTGATCTTTGTGCAAAATTGCCCAGACACTGCCAAAAAGCAGGAGAAGAACTTCTCATGTAATGTAAACACGGACATCAAGGATGCCGTGGTAGTGCCTGTATCACAAACGGGTACCAATTCCCTGCCAGCTGCAGACGGCGGCCCCCCTGAGGTTATACCAGTGTGACAGGACCAGCTGGGAGTTTCTTCACTGAAGAGTATCTTTCTAGCCCTTAGCCACTACACATGACAGAAGTGATCCTGAAGTATTCACTCCCTTTATCTTCTCTTTCTCCTACGGACTCATTTTTCCTTACTTTGCTCAAAAGCAAAGGACCAAAACAACACCAAATGACCAGGATCCCGTGAAGCAGTCCATCCAGAGTGTGATACGGAAATGTGAGAAGTTTGCTAGAGAGTGATTTCTAAGACAATTAAGAGCCACTGGAGCAAGGAATGCTCGTAGGCAGTGACGAAAGCCTGAATGGCCACACACGTCTTCACAGGAGAGTTTCAGAATACAGACTTGAACTGCAATGTGTGTTTCTTCTAAGGCCTCGTCATGTTAACTGTCTCATCTGGAAATAAGAAACATACTAGGTTTTAAGCTTGAAATCGTCTGCATTGTCCTTAAGTCATATCAGAAGCAAACTTGGAGGATGCATATTTTGATATTCATACTTTGACAGCTAACAGATTTTGATGGCTATCGTGGAGTCCAGTTGTTTTACCAGATGCATGTTTTTACAATAGATGCAATACACATTTGAAGATATTAATATTTAGAATTATGTTCAAATCATGAACAGATTTTCAGAGTTTTTGGGTGTAATTAATGCTGTTAAGTACCCACTGAAGCTGAAAGCAACTATCAGGTCCTACATTTTATCTGGTCCCCGTAAAACAGTGTTGCCCAACAGAAATATAATGTGAGCCACAAATGCAAGCCAGATGCCTACATTTAAAATTTTCCAGTAGCCCCATTAGAAAAAGTAAAAATAAGTGAAATTTTCATATTTCATTTAACACTATGTATCAGGTTAGTTCAATGTCATGAATATTAAAAATTAAGGTATTTTACATCCTCGTTTATGAACCACAATTAAAAATCCAGTATGTATTTGATCTTTACAGCGTATCTTAATTTGAATTAATCATATTGTTTAGCACAGGCCCTAAAATTAAAGGCAGAGCCTCTGCTCCATTGAATATTCCACAACAGCAGCTCAATTCCTTCTTTTATTCAAAGTCTCACAAATGTTAAACAGTTTTATACAGCACTAAATTAATCAAGTTAAATAATGTGGTTGGTTAAAGAGTTAGGTGAACTTACCATTTCTCTAGAGGGTGAAAAAAATGAAAGTATAGAAAGATACAATGATCTACATGTGGCAAAGTTCTGAAATTAACTTGTTTGCTACTATGAAGCACATATGCTAGGGAAACAAAAATTAAATATTATTGTTAAGTCAAATGTGTAGGGCTTTTTTTTTTTCTTTAATCCACATGTGGTATCTAACTTGACAGATGAATAGTTATGACTAAGCACTTAGACTATTTTAAAAAGCTGACAGTATTTCCCTTGCTCAGCTGGGAAGTAAAGATATTCAACAGATTTTGTGATAAGTAATAAATTGAGTTGTTTAGGTTTGGCAGTTCAGTTGATTATTGTGTTCTTTGCATATTCATGTAAAACTGAAGCGTGAATGTTACTGCAGTGAGCTAGATTAATGATTATAGAGTTAGTGACCCATGAAAGAAAGATGTCTCACATTTAAAAAGGTGATTTTTTGTTGTCGTTAGCTGTCATATTTATTATTGTGAAAAGGCAACCATGATGGCCCTAAGAACCAAAGCATGGGTATTGCATTGCACAAACCCGGGTATCACATTGATGCACTTTGTAATTATCAGTGTGCTTGTTCTTCATGGATTATCATAGAAAAAAGGAAAAGGAAATAACCTTTTAATGTGGAGAAAGATATGAATATTAGTAGTGGCTGACAATGAGTCCAAATAGTCCCAATTCATAGAAATAAAGAAAAGGTATACAATGTCAAATTTGTGTGTGTGTATGTGTGTGTGTGTGTGTGATGTGTGTGTGTGATTTCATGTGTGTACATGAGAAAAACATTAAGGTTTTCGGCCAGTCAGGAAACAAAAGGTTTAAAACTCATCTTTCTTAAAACTTGCGGAGGGTATGGACTAAAGGCACAGGGAAAACAAAGCTGAAGTAACTAAAGTGTACCATAATTTCTGCACAACTAAGGACATACTTGTAATAAAAAATCTATGAACCTTAAACAAACTAAACTTTGTATTAACTTCCTCTTAAATTTCCATTTTAAAGGTTTTAGATAAATATTCATGAATAGCTAAGCTTTGGGTGATTTAACCATAGCACCTCACCCAATAGATTAACCTGGATTCAATTTTTGTTAATTTTCCTAAGCTTTTTACTAATCCATTTTTCCCAGAGCTTAGCAATGGAAACGTGTTGTTTACAAATATTCCTGGGGGGGGGGGCGGTGGGAGGGGGGGTAATCTGTCACCAGCAAGCAATGAAATCTTGATTTCTCTTTTGTTTGCTCTGAAAGGAAAAGGCTTATTTACCTTAATTACCACCAAAAATACTGTTTAAATTCTGGACAGACCTAAGCAAGATAGGTAAGTGCATAGCTCATTTCTCAGTAGGAGATGATTGGCTAAAGTAGGCCTTGTTTATTAAAGGCTACACTTAACACTAAGAAAACATTTCTAGAATGAAAAGTAAAGATAAGCATTACTGTCTTAACCCTAAAATATGACACGGTGTTTTAATACGATACATAAATTCTCAAAATTAACTTGTACAGGCTTTGACTTTCTTGTAATGAGAAAATAATATAGCTCCCTAGCAGGTTAAAAGTCAGCTTTTTATTCTGCTATTCTTCTGCCCTTTACAAACCCTGAACTCCTGAATTTAAATCTTTTATAAAAAGTTTTCCTGCAATGGCTGTTTGTGGTTCAAACCACTGGAAATAATGATGTGCATTTAAAACCTAATATTGATTTTCTTTCCTATTTGTGCG